CCTGACTCTGCTAAAAGCAGACTTTAGTGTCACTGCCGGTTCCCTGAGTGCCTGAAGCAGGCTTGGGGATTCTATACCACCTATCTAGGGGCATCCCCTAGAAGATAATTAAACGGTAAGTAACCTGGGGAGCAGATGTGGGAATTCAGCCTACTAGGATGCCCCTAGATAGGTGGTATAGAATCCCCAAGTTAGCTTGTCAGGCAGGCTGCGTATGTTTTTTGCAGCTTATCTCTTATCCTCTATGGCCACCATGCAGTCTTGGGCCTGTTGAGTATGCTGTAGAGTCGAAAGCTGTTTCTCCAGAGACTTTATACGGGTCTCGTAGTCAGTCCGTCTGCACTTTTTGTAGTGTTGTAATATCCTTTTGTTAGTCCACCCATTGTACAACACTGTGGCACTATATAAATAATAACAATAATAATAATAATAATAATAATAATAAAACCATGCTGATATTTGCTGATAATGTTCTTATTAATCAATTCCTGAAATTTATCCCTTAATAACCTTTCAAATACTTTCCCAGCCACAGACGTTAAGCTCACAGATCTATAATTTCCAGGCAAGGAGATTGAACCCTTTTTGAATATAGGAACCATATCTGCCTTCCACCAATCCTCCAGTACAATTCCTGAAAGAAAATAACCTTCACAGATTAAAAACAGAGTTTCACTTATTTCCACACTCAGTTCCTTATGTGAATACTGTGTGAATGGGTGAATACTGCCAGGGCCTGGAGCTTTGTTTATATTAACTTTCGTTAGTTGCTGCAGGATATTGTCTTGAGTCATCCAATTATACTTTTTCTGCAAGTTTTTTGCAGCAATCATTTGCATATCTCTAGCCATAGGTTATTCCTTAAAATATACTAAGGAGAAATAGTTATTTAAAATGTCTGCCTTTTCCTGGTCTTCATTAACTAACACACTCATCCCAGTTTTCAGTGTACCTATACTTTATTTAATTTTTATGTCATTATTGGCTTCCCAATATCTTTTATAGGATGCCTCTAGTTTGTCCGTTTTAAATGCCCTTTTCTTTTTTTAAATTACTTGATTTATTTTCCCACTGGTATATAATGAGAAATGTATGTTTCTAATTTTTGTTTGAGGATATTCCATTTATCCTCAGTGGGTTTTTTTTCACTAAATAGTTTATGCCAGTAAATATAAGAGTTTATGCCAGTAAAGCTGCCACTATCTTTTTGAAATTGGCCTTTTAAAAATTATATGGTTTAGTTTACCTCATGTTCATTTGCATTTTTGAGTTTATTTCAATGGACATTATCTTGTGATCACTATTTACCAAGTACTCCCATACTTGAATTTTGGTCAAAAGATCAACATTGTTTGTTATAACCAGATCCAGACAAGCATCCTTCCTAATTGGTGCTTGTACAAGTTGTGACATGAAGGTGTAATTTAACAAGTTAAAAAAAAACCTGATTGCCTTTGTTGAACTACTAGTCCCTCTATCACAATTTATGTCAGGGTAATTAATATCTCCAATAATTTCCGTGTTACCAAGATTTTCAGCTTTACCAGTTTGCTCAAACCGCTGTTTTTCCTCATAAATATTAACATTAGGTGGTTTATAATGTATCCCAACAAATAATTGATTTCCCTTATTTTGCCCCAAACAGATATATACCCATAAAGCTTTCACATTTTTCTCCTCACCTTCCACCTGCTTGAGATTTGGCTTCAACTCATGGTTTACATACAAGCATACCGCACCACTCTTCCTGTTTTTTCTATCCTTCCTAAATAATATGTAACCATTTAAGTTAGCTGTCCAATCATCTGTCTCATCCCACCATGTTTCTGTTATGCCTATTATGTCATATTAGTGTATGCTATTGCCTCTAGTTCCCCCATTTTATTAGTTAGGCTCCTTGCATTAGTAAGCATACATTTAAAATCATCATAAGTCACTTGTACATTATGTGAATTTTTAACATTATTACATACCTCCTCTGTTCTGATCTTGCCCCTCCCTCCATCTTGTACTAAGTTAAAGCCCATCTCCTTTCTGTCCTATCTCCATTTCATAGATGTCCCCACCTCCCCCACCCACCCTTAGTTTAAAATATCCTCAAAATGTCTAGCCATCCTGTTCCCCAATATTGCTGACCCTCTTCTGTTTAGGTGGAATCCATCACGACTATAAAGATTGTACACAAGCACAAAATCGGCCCAGTGCTCTAAAAACCCCAAACCTTCCTTCCAACATCAAGACTTCAGCCAAGACTTCAGACCTCTCTAATATGCTGCTGCCTTTACACTCTAGTGCAGGGCTGTCCAACCTGCGGCCCCCCCAGATGTTGCTGAACTACAACTCCCATGATTCCCTGGCTATCTGTTTAATTGAAAGAATCATGGGAGTTGTAGTTCAGCAACATCTGGGGGGCCGCAGTTTGGACAGGCCTGCTCTAGTGCATGGCGCAGGTAAAGCTCAGAAAATACCAAATTGGAGGCCCTTTTCTTAAGTTTGCTACATAATTCCCTGAACTTATCGTTTAAAGTCCTCCATCTTCCTCTAACTTTGTCATTGGTACCGATATTGACCATGACAGCTGGGTCATATCCAGCTCCTCTCAATAACCCATCCACTCTGTCAGCAATATGCCGGACCTAGCCTTACATTGTCATCCCCATCTGAACTACAGGGGTTGTTCTATCGACTGTTAGAAGGAAGAGATTTCTCTAGTAATTACACACACTGACAAAATCAGACATCGATTCACACACGCAGATTCAAAGACATTGACAAAATTAGGCATAGATTCACACATACAGATTCACACACATGCAAAATCACACAATCAAAAAATATTGCCTAAATAAACACAATCATTTCACTTAACTAGCTGGAAGACTGTAGTTGAATTAATTTCACATGGTTATCATTGTCAGTGCAGATTATGACCATATTACAAGTCACATTTGCAGGTTGACAAATGAACATACAAGATAATATGCAGATGTTTTTCCACAGACTGTATTATGCAAAGGAAAAACATGAAGTATTAATTTGCAAATTATGGCAGTCAACAGTTACGCCAAATCTATTAAAAACAATCTATTAAAATATGTCTGGGACCCCTGCATATAATAAAAGATCTGATAGGCTAACTTTTTAAAAAAGATTTTTAATTAAACTACCTTATACAAATTGTTTCTGTGTTACTCATATCAAAATGCAAAGCTTTGGTTTTTTTCTACATTGATTATATACAGCCACTTTCCTACCCAGTCCAAGTAATTTTGCCGTGCTGCACGTTATAGAGACATAGAAGGGACTTTTATGGTTTTATGTGACCAATATTCTTTATGCCATAAAAAAACTAATACAACTGCTAGTAAACTGTAATTGACATTGCCAGCTCTACACTTTCCTATGGGACTTCCCTGTAGAATTTATTTTATGAAACTCATGATATTTAGCAATATCAGTAATAATCTAAATCATTTTTGAAGTTGCATAGAATGAGACAAAATAAAACTACAAAGGCATTAAAACACATATTTATAGGAAAAATCCATATGTGTGTGTGTGTGTGTGTGTGTTTTAAATTGGGATTTGCAATACAGGTAGCAAGCACATATTTTCTACATTTTAAGCATGAAAGATTCTCATCACCAGTACAAACGTAACAATAAATCAATCTCATATAAATACTAATAATAGCTTTCCACTGGCCATTCTAGTATGGAAATTCAAGAATGATATGACATCATGCATAGCTAACAGATTGGTAATGTAGTATCTCACTGACCACCCACACGGTAATATAAATATTTAAATCTTACTGTCTGATATTTTAGACTCTCCTGTGGTAAACTGCATATAAATGAATGTGCAATGAGACTCAAGCAGGGAATTGGATAATCTGTTTTTCACATATTTCAGTAACAAATATGAAGATTACTTAAACTGAGGTGAGCGGTAGAAATAATTTATTTCAACTTTGCTCTTGTTTTCTAAAAAAACCACAAGGTCACTCATTGGCATTTGGGAACAATAATTCCCATAAAGCATTGTGGGTACATGAGGAATACTGATTTCCTTCAAACTCATGAGCAGTCTTTGAGTCATCAACCTTCTCTGATTACTGAGTTACTACTTTTATTATTACTTCAGCAGATGGTGAGTTTCTAGACCTATATTAAACACAGTGATAATATATAGTCTGCCATTTTCTCATTTACTGAAAATTTATGTGATTGCAAATAAATATCTGCATTCCACAGCTCTGCAGGTTTAGTAAATTTTATATGTTAACGTTCTAAAAGGCAAATGGAACAGTTGAAGGAATGGCAAGTTGCAGGGTAATACCAATATTTTTTTTATATAACGTCATGACCTCCTTTATAGACATTTAAGTAGTAGTGTTGGCATTTTACAAAATTAAACAGAGTGGAAGCTGATATGGATCAAGAAAGAAATTGTAGGTCAGTGAAGGGGTTAACCCTTGCTGAGTAATATACTCAAAAAAAAAAAAGGAAAAAACACACTGTGCTGTATCAAGAGAAAGTCCTAACAAGAAAAATAATCTGAAAACATAACTTTTAATAGTAGAGCATATAAAAATGGAGAGACAAATGTTTAATTAGAAAACAATATACTTATAAATAAACCTAAATGTGTGATGAAGGAACATGAGAAAAAATATAGAATATAAAATTAGTATTAAATCAGTAGACACAACGTGTCAATATTGACAGACCGTATTATGGAATATAAGGTTAGGTAGACACTATGTAACTAAATTATGTTGCAATAAAGTGTAGAGATACTGGTAACAAAATGAAAAGCAAACATTCAGGGTAGGGGGCGTGTCCGGCTGCTGACGGAGATTGCTGTGTAAAAGAACAGCTCCTCGTGGCCCCAGCAACAACAGCCAAACAAAGCATACCCTACGCACAAACTAACCAGCCATGGGACGCACAAGAAAGCTAATGGAGCCCCAGGGTACCCCCAGATCGTCGGGACCCATGACCGAGCTGTCTATCCGCTCCTTTCTTACAACCCCACGGGACCTCGCATCCCAACCGGAAATGGAGGCCTCAAATGAGACCGCGACACCCGCCGGATTCTCCCCGGCCTCACCAGCCTCGCTGGCCACACAGGGGACACTGGATGGGGACCTGCGTTCCCTCCTGCCCAATCTGCTTACCAAGGCAGACTTGGAATCCCTCTCTGACCGCCTCAGCAGGGTCATCAGAGATGAACTGGCACAGATAAGGGCGGATGTAGCCTCTATAGATGCTAAACTTACAGCCCTGGGAGGACAACAAATTCATAGACTGGGCCTGGTCAGAGCTCACCGCGCTCTGCGCGCACCCCCTGCAACTGGCGAACAGCCACGTGATATTGTCTGCTGCCTAGACAATTTTGCCATGAAGGAAGATATCCTGCGAGGCGCATGCTGCATAGGCACAATCCGCATTGACAACCAGCACATATCCATCTACCAGGATCTCTCCCGCTATACCCTGCAGGCAAGAAAGGCTCTCAGACCAATAACCACAGCACTCCAAGCGGCAGGTATTCCTTACAGATGGGGATACCCCTTCTCTCTATCAGCACGCAGAGGACCGGACCTTCACGTTATACGGTCCCTGACGGATGTCCCCAGCTTCCAGCGCTCTCTAGGGCTCCCGCAGGCACCAGTCCCGAACTGGCTAACCCATCAGTTTATACGCCACGCGAAGGGACCCCCACCACCACCACCGGGCAGAGATCAGGGCAGGAACAGGCCCCAACGCGACCGCCCATGACCCAACAGGGCCAGAAGAGTAAAACCTGCTGCAAAACACCCTCACACGCTAAGAGGGGACAAACCACAAACGCGTCCCGCCAACTTGTGAGTACTTTCCATTGTTTGGGGACACTGTCTATACACACTGCAACACAGGGAGGGATATGACACACCTTAGGGAGGGGGGCACGTGGGGGACCGGGACACAGCCGCACATGGGAGCTCAACTTAAAGCCTTCCACACGGGGACAAATAAACCACTACAGGCGGCAGGACTACGGGCCACCAAAACAGCGGACACTGCAAGAGGCCTGGATAATCCGAACTCAGGGGCACCAAAGGCCCTCCAAGACTGATTACAGCTACATATGACCTAACTGGTATAATTGGGCGGGGGGGATGGGAGGGGAGGAGAGAAGGGGCTGCAATTCATCGCACAGAAGCATGGCACCCAGTGGGGCGAGCAGCCATAAGGCTACATCCAGCTCTACCCACTGTGGGCAACACCACTAAACCCGAAACAACACATATGCACACAAGCAATAGACAGCATCAATGGAAAGTCACTGATGTGGAGACGCAAGTGGGGGGGGGGAAGGCAATGGTGACGGCAAGAAACTAGAGGATATTAAATGGGGGCGGGAGGGGGGAATAGAGAAAAAAAAACAAACAGAAAAAAAAAAGAAGGGAAAAAAAAAGTAGGTGGAGGCGAGGGGGGGGATACAGGAGGGGTACCACACGCAAAAAGGAGGAAAGGGAGGGGGGAAGGGGAGAGTGGGGGCTCAAAAGACATAACAGAGGGGAGTTGGGAAAAGGTAGACAGCCCGACCGCACAAGGCTGCGAAATTGGACATAGCAGGGGCTATGATAAAAGGGATTATACACAAACACAGATACAGATACCAGGACAGGACCAGCCACCCAAGATCAAACGTGAGATGGGGGAAAGCGCATGGTAGAAACGGGGGCAGATGCACCCATCTATAAGGGCTTAATGCACAGGCACCAGCTCTGAATGTCACTAACAGTATAACGCTGTGATGACCAACACCGCAACACACAGGTCGATTCACATACACAACCACCCTGGCCCCAACCACCACCCCCCACTCCGGGGGAACGCTCACAAAACAACATGCACCCAACCTCACCACAACACACGAGATGCCTGTCCACGCACCTACGCCCCGCAACCCACACAATGGAATACGACCAAGAGATGACCGGGGACGTGGAGCCCACAAAATGGTCTACACACAGATGGCACAGCACATGACATGCCCCATGATCCACACACATAGGGGTAGCTTACCCGGATAGGAAAAAGGGCTTACACGAGCCACACCACCACACTACCAATCCAACTCTGGTCATTGCCGCTGAGGGCTGGACAGACGGACACACCAGTTGCCACTCGTAGCTGACTGGGGTTACACCCCCCATCAGCCGGAGACAGGTGCGGGATCCATAAACCCCCCAAAGGGTACGGACTAGAAGCACTCTCACCTAGGCAGAGTGCCCCCGTCCAGGAGGGTTCTCAGACACCAGACTCTCTAAGTCTGTGGACCACTCTACCAGGACATAAGTCCACTAACCCGATCTAACTCTAGGTCCCATCAGGATCAACACACCGACACACATACACACACACACACCCCTTTTTTCTCTTATTCTTCTTCTCTCTCTCTCTCTCTCCTTCTCCTGCCCTTCCCTTCCCTCTTCCCCTTGCATACCCCTCCTCCTCCTGACCTTCCCCCACCCCGCCAGCCGCGGTTGCTCCAGATGGCCGTCCAGAGGACGCAAGCCCCTGAGGCTACTCGCTATGTTCAGGAAGATCTAAATGTCATATCATTCAATGTCCGAGGTCTAAACATATGGGGCCTACCCCGATATTGGCCTACCCCGATATTGGTCCTGGATGTAGACGTCAAGCTTTTGGCTAGCGTGCTGGCCAACCGACTGACACCACTACTCCCGGACCTAGTTAACCTGCATCAGACGGGGTTCATTCCGGGAAGAGAGGTTAGAGACAACACCATACGGGCACTGAACCTGATCACTGCAGCGGCGCAGTCCAACCAACAGACCCTGATCCTCTCCAGGGATGCCGAAAAGGCGTTTGATAGGGTGGACTGGGAATTCCTCTTCCAAACCCTCCAGAGCCTGGGCATCTGCCCCAAATACATACAATGGATAGAGGTGCTCTACAATGAACCAACGGCCAGACTCCGCATCAACGGGGCCCTCACAGACCCGTTCCACATCCGCAATGGAACACACCAGGGATGCCCCCTATCCCCCTTGCTCTTTGCACTATCCCTAGAGCCATTCCTCAATAACATCAGAGGCAATGAGGCGATCCACAGACTCAGTATAGGCCGATCGCAACACAAAGTCCTGGCATATGCGGATGACCTTCTCTTTATAGTACAACACCCGGCCACGACGCTACAACTACAGCAAATCAGAAATCCTAAATCTCAATGTTAGACACACCCAAACGCAGAAGCTCAGGCGCCGCCTCTCCTTTCGCTGGTGCACTACCAAGATGAGGTACCTAGGGGTATGGCTCACACCGAACCCAGCGGATCTATACCACCACAACTTTCTACCACTTCTCAAAACCACGCAGGCTGAACTGCAGGCCTGGAACACCTATTACATTTCATGGGTAGGCCGCATCAATGCTGTGAAGATGACCCTACTCCCTAAATTTCTATTCGTCTTCCAAACAATACCAGTTGCAGTGCCGAAAAGCTTTTTCACATCCATCCAAACGGCTATCCGTCACTTCATATGGAAAGGCAAGCCCCCCGAATAGGCCACTCCCAACTGATGCTCCCTAAACTCAAAGGGGGACTGGCTCTCCCCGACTTCAGGAAGTACTACATAGCAACACACCTCACGCGAATGATCGGTTGGTCGACAACACCAAGAGACAAGCTATGGGTTCAACTAGAAGCGGATAGCTCCAACTGCGACCTTAGAGCCCTGCCATGGATCACCCCAGAAGCGAGCCGACTCACCCAACACGGAAACCCGTTTGTGAAGGCCACCCTCCGCATTTGGCACCAGCACGGCCCCAAATACTATCTTACTACCAACTCAGGCCCTCTACTCCCTCTCAGATTTCCCGGCAGGAGACATGGGACCCACCCTGAAACTGGGGACTAACACCGCATTACCTTGAATAATGGGCATACTCACACCCCCTTGCACAATAAAGCCAATCGCAGACCTTTTTCCAGACCAAAGACACACCTTCCTATACACTATCGCAAGGGAACAACTACAGCGATATGCACGTTCGATCCCCTAAAGACCGAGCCTTACACGGGATTGTACGGAGTTTGAGTCCCTGTGCCTGTCAGACACACTCCCCCCGAAAGCGATCTCAGTCGCTGGGAAGAGGATCTGGACATAACACTCACGGACGTAGACTGGGACAAAATCATTACACTCACCCAGAAGACCCCAGGATCAGCGAGGCTTCAAGAAAATTCGTATAAAGTATTTACGAGATGGTACATCACCCCAGCGAACCTACATACTAGAGACAGCTCGAAACCAAACACGTGCTGGCGATGCGGAATGGAGACTGGGACATTTCTTCACTTATGGTGGGACTGCGCCCTCATCCAGCCATTCTGGGAAACGATGGGCCGAGTGATCATTGAAACCACAGATGAAACCATCCCGGTAGCACCAGCACCCTTCCTACTACACTATACAACAATACCCGCACCAGTGTATAAACAATCTGTGATACCGAGGCTCCTCAATGCAGCATAAGCAACAATTCCGATCTTCTGGAGGCAACCTCGCACCCCCTCACTCAGGCGCTGGGTGGAGGAGGTGGAGGACACCTGGAAATTCGAGGACCTGAAGGCAACGACAGCGAACGCGAAAGAGAAACATATAAATAGATGGTTCTACTGGCTGAGACACATTGCCTCTGATGACTTTGTGACACTATTGAATACATCAACCCACTGGGAGAAGCCCACGGGAGACATATGAAGGAGATCACCCGGGGTACCAGCGGGGCAGGACACCGCGGAACGGGGACGAGAGACAAAGAATGACCAGATGGCTAAGCTACTCACATGCCCCCACACCCCCCATTTATTTTATTTTTTTTCCTCTCTCTCTCCCTCTTCTTCCTTTCCTCTCTCCTCCGTCCCACGCAAGTGCCTGAAACGGGCCACACACAAACACAAACCCTCGGGGGAGACACACATGTACGCAGACGTACAACCATACACAAAACCTCTACTGACTACATAACCTACGATCCCGGTAAAGTGCACAACCCCATACGCTACCCACCAGCATACCAAGACTCGCGACAGAAGCTTCAGACTGAGACACCAAAAACTACACTAAACGGGAGAAGAACTACAGAATACACACGCAACGTACGAGGCTGCACAGCCCCTCAACTATCGCACCACTACACACACACGCGAACACCACCAAGATGGAGCAGACTCCGCTTGGTAAAACACAGGCATAAACCAACAACCCACCCATATTAAACTATGCAAATGCATCATCGTCACACGGACACAATCACACGAACCTATAATCATTGAACCATGAAAATGCTCTCACTACTCACAACAAATATGAACAGGTGCACTGCCAATTTCAGCAAGAATACCGACATTACCCACCTGGATGATAGGAACAACATACCAATGCAAGGGTCACACCCGATGGCTAAACAAGTGCAAGTTCATACCAGATATACAATGTGCAATGCAGCTGCGCAGGCACTAAAAACGACTACATAGGGTATATACGCTAGGATTGCACAGATAAAAGACAATCATACCTGCAACAAATTAGCTAACGCAAGACAACAATAAAAGCCAACTAACACAAAGCAACTACACAAACCAGCTAACACAAAGCAGCAACGCAAACCAACTAACTCAGAGCAACTACGCAAACTAACCAACATGAGGCGACTTAACGAACCAGCTAACAAAAAGTACCTACACAAACTAGCTACCACAAACCACCTACACAAACCAGCTCACACAAGACAAACACACAAACCCAAATCACACTAGGTCCTGCAAACCCAGGAAATATGTCGTAAAGTACACAGAGTACACGCCTGCCTCACTAAACTAACTGCACATGTTCCGTTTACATGTATCAATATGTATACGCCTCTGCGTAGGCGACCATTTGCTTTTATAACAATATGTTTGATGTCCGCTTATACGACAATAAAAAACTATTTAAAACAAAAATTCAGGGTATCTGAACTCAAAGGCAACAGTTACAAAGATCAAAAGGGTAAACCCAGCAGCGGATGAATATCACAGTTATATCTGAGTGTCAAAATGGCATACAGTGTAATATGCCATATACAATAGAATGAAACATAATAAGGTATCTTTACAAGGTCTGCAAAGCTCCAAGCTTTTTTTAGAAATGAAAAAGTGCGGGAGATTGTTTATATATACTCTGTTAGTACTAGTATAAGCCAGTATTTGATTGAAAAATCCATCTAATATATATCCAAGTGTCCATCTGTGCCTTCAAGGGCACCTATCAATAGTAATAGCTAAACTAGCTCCTTAACAGAGACCCCCTGCAAAACACAACCAAATATCACTGTTAGTGGTATATGCCCGCCGTGGTTTGCAGAAGGCTAAACAACCCGAAACCCCAGCCACCCGAAGTATGTAAAATAAATAAATACAATTAGTTAGTCTAAATAGTAACTGCTATGGTAAGCAAGGTAGAGGTAATCGTGATCAGAGGCTGAAGGTGTCAGGTCCAAAGAGCCCCGACCCGCGTTTCGCCGGTAAGCGGCTCTTCAAAGGGGAACCTTTGGGTTGGCACATTTGAGAAAATAATGCCCTGTTTATGTTTGGCAGCTTTGCAGAGCCCCAATGTCATATACATTGTCTTTAACTGTATTTTAGAGTTTGATCCTTAAAGGAACACTATAATGTCAGGAATGCAAAAATATATTCTTGACAAAAAGCAAAAAAATGGATTCAAGGTCAGAACAACCTGGTCCTAAAGTCAGAAAGGGGACTAGGCAGGTAATATGGGCATAACCCAGATAATTTTATGAAAAAAGAGGATACCTTGAATGGATATGTTGAGAACAGCAATCTGGGTGCAAAATCACACGGATATCATGTCTCAAACAGCCACCAAAGGTTTTACCCACATAGTGAGTAACAACTCAATCAGGAGGTTAAAATATGTTTAAATATCAATATCTTTATTATACACGTTAGACTAAACACAAACGTGAAACAAAATAAATTATACAAAGACGAGCTGGTGATTTAAAAAAGGAAAAAAATCTATGATAGTCTGCCTCATGTATCCAGATGGCTACTGTAGAGCTATCCAAGTATAAAGCAGCTCATATAGCTAACTAGATACACTGTGTAAGGTATCTGTATCAAAGGAATAGCTATTAGCATCAATATGTTGCAAACAGGTTTTTTTCCTTCCACCCAAGCTAGCAATCTCCATTGAAGCAGCTTAAAGGGACATTGTAGTCACCAGAACAACTAGAGCTTATTGAATTTGTTCCGGTGAGTAGAATCATTACCTTCAGGCTTTTTACATTAAATGCATTAGTTTACATTACAGCCTAGTGATAACTTCACTGGCCACTCCTTAGATGGCTGTTAGAGATCCTTCCTGTGTCATGGCTGCCTTAAATGCATCCCAACATTCAGTATCTCCTCCCTCTGCATGCAGACACTAAGTTTACCTCATAGAGATTAATTGATTCAACTCATCTCTATGAGGAGATGATGATTGGTCAGGGCTGTGTTTGAATTGTGCTGGCTCTGCCCCTGACCCGCCTCTTTGTCAATCTCAGCCAATCCTATGGGGAAGCATTGTGATTGGATCAGGCTACCACTTCTGATGATGTCAGAAGGCAGTGGGCAGGTCTAAAGGAAACAAGGACAAAGTAAGCAGCTCCAGACTTGAATACAAATAAGATTTTACTATATTTAGGGAGGCATGAGGGAACCAGGGGGGCTAGATGGTGATTTTAACCCTATAGGGTAATGAATACATGTTTGTGTTCCTGACCCTATAGTGCTCCTTTAAGTATGTATAAAGGTGGGAGCAGATAGCTGTATATGGTTTAGATGGATGGGGTGTTATGAAGACATTCCTACCCTGTATATTAAACCAGAAATATGAAAAGTATGAAGCAGCAGAGGGTTCCTCCTTAGCTTTTAGGAATTCATGGTTCAATATTCAAAAGTTAGAGATTAAGGGTTAAAGGTTTTAGGAGACAGAAAATCCCCTTTAGATTGTCCTTCAATAAAGTTGCAGTATAAAGGTAAGATTAAAAGGCATAAAAATCCCTTCCAGTAACTCTTCAAAGAAATTCCAGTAAAAAGGGGTTAAAGGTATAAAGGGTTAAAGGTATAAAAGACAAAGTTCCTTTAAAAGACCCCCTAAAAAAAAAACAGTATAGAGGCAGTATCTAGGACAGGGATAGGCAACCTTCGGCACTCCAGATGTTGTAGACTACATCCTCCATAATGCTCT